TGATCTACTGGAGAAATAGGATAAGTCTACCTGCATTACTCAACAGATAAATATAAACTGATCTACTGGAGAAATAGGATAAGTCTACCTGCACTACTCAACAGATAAATATAAACTGATCTACTGGAGAAATAGGATAAGTCTACCTGCATTACTCAACAGATAAATATAAACTGATCTACTGGAGAAATAGGATAAGTCTACCTGCATTACTCAACAGATAAATACAAGTTGATCTACTGGAAAACTTAACAAATAAGTAGACGTTGATCTATTCGAAAATTTCGGCAGACCTACCTGCAGTACTCTGTAAACGTAAGAACGTAGCATTTGTCCTCGATGCACGCGACACTGTTGACATCTCTGTGTTTAGAGGCAAATATCTCATCCTCCATATCCTGTGCTGTTCGGCCTTGTTCAGTATGTTCAGGTCGGTAATACCACATGAGACTCATCATCATTTCTCCTAAAAAAAGGAAACAAACCAACATTTACGGAGTACAACACAAGGAAAAACTGTAAACCAACATTTACAGAGTACAACACAAGGAAAAACTGTAAACCTACATTTACAGAGTACAACACAAGGAACAAGGTAAAACAAATCGATCAATTACCTCTAATCTTTTACTGAAATGTGACACAAACTACATGTAATATAACCTATTAATCTTTAGAGGATTGTACACAGAATTAGGCAGACATTATCTTCTGTGTTAAAATGTCTGATGCAAAAAAAATAGACAAACACTCTCCGATAAAAAACAATTACAATAATTGGGGCTCATCAGTAGAGATCCGAATTTTAATTACCAGTCAGCAAGCGTGGGGACACTGCCCCCATGGTTAATATAAATATTACATGTCTTTCCTTATTTGAATTGATGGAATAATTTTATACAAACCAAATAAGAGAAGAACAAAACTAGCTGTTACTGAATCTAATAGTTGTGATTCTTTTCTTCTTTTTAAGTTTTCCTTCTAAATCGAAAGTCCCGTAGTGGCTCAGCAGTACGTCTGCAGACTTATAATGCTAGAAACCGAGTTTCGATACCTATGGTGGGCACAACCCAGATAGATAGCCCATTGTTTAGATTTGTGCTTAACTACAAACAAACAAAATCGATATTGTTAAGCTTAAGTTTTAATTTTAATAATATAAATATATATATATACGTTTTTTTGCACGTGAACTTAAGGTTAATTAGATATCTGGTAAAATAATATTTTTTTTTAAAGTTAACGTTAATTTACTACAATTGTTAGTGATCTTAATTATCGTTTTATTTCCGGTTATAATAGTGACACTGCTGTCCACATTATGCTTGTGCATATTTCAAAGAACCAAAGTCCTTGTATTCTTTATCTAGGTTTTTGTTTTAGAGCAAAGGTACATAGGGCTATCTTCTGTGTCCACTGTAGGGAATCTAACCCCGGATTTTAATGGTGTAAGTCCGTAAACTTCCGCTTTCCAACTTATCTCGAACTCTATCATGAATCAAACGTGAATAATGATTAATAGATTAAGTTTATCACGAATAAATTTCAAACATATTTAACTCCAAATTAATTTCAGTAGCGTTAAATATATATAAATATGATAGTACTGTCTATTGTATGTCCATGTAACTACTTTGCAGGGTATGGATGGATATTCACCAAAATTGGTATGGAGGTTCATTAGGTCCATGCGGTGTTACATACACACTTTCAGTTTTGCATTTTGCAGCTTTTATGGGCGTTTTTTACCAGTACTTCGCCCCCTATAGAGGATCTTCACCAGATTTGATATGGAGGTTCATTGGGTCCATGGGGAGATACATATAAATTTTCAGTCTTGCATTTTGCGATTTTTATGGACGTTATTTTACCACTAAGTCACCCCCTGTTGATGGATCTTTACCAAATTTGGCATGATGGTTTGTTGGGTCCATGCGGAGATACATGCAAACTTGCGGTTTCACATTTTGTGTTTTGAAGTTTTTATGGGTGTTTTGGGGTATTTTGCAATTACTTAAAAGGGAAGCAATTTTTCATGTCCTAAGATAACCTTTCATTAATCATCAATTTACATACTTCCGTCAAATAATTTACTAACCGTTTAGTTTAATCCTTTCTATGGAAAAGCTTGTTCCATTAGAAGAGTCAACTCTAATGAAACGTTCTTTTTTTTACAGGAAATATTAAGCTAAAAAGGTTGTGATAATTAAGAAATAACTCAGTGACAAGTGTCGCATTGAATGGTAGATTGCCTGGGCTTCGTATTAATTTTTTTTATCTTAAAAAGCTTGTCTGCTGAATAATTCAGAATAATAAATTAGTAGCATTAATGCTATATATTTTTTCAAATCCTATATAACTAAAGGCTCACTGTGGTGAGCAAAGGACAACTCAAAACACGTAATATGCAATCCATCGCTTTATAAAACCTAATCTTCTACTTTCGATTTGCTGAGGAATTACTCGAAATTGGTATAACTCTAGTGGTGACATATGGTAAATTGGTATAACTCAAGTGGTGACATATGATAAATTGGTATAGCTCAAGTGGTGACATATGATAAATTGGTATAGCTCAAGTGGTGACATATGATAAATTGGTATAACTCAAGTGGTGATATACGGTAAATTGGTATAACTCAAGTGGTGACATATGGTTAATTGGTATAACTCAAGTGGTGACATATGGTTAATTGGTATAACTCAATTGGTGACACATGGTTAATTGGTATAACTCAATTGGTGACACATGGTTAATTGGTATAACTCAATTGGTGACACATGGTTAATTGGTATAACTCAATTGGTGACACATGGTTAATTGGTATAACTCAATTGGTGACACATGGTTAATTGGTATAACTCAAGTGGTGACACATGGTTAATTGGTATAACTCAAGTGGTGACACATGGTAAATTGGTATAACTCAAGTGGTGACACATGGTAAATTGGTATAACTCAAGTGGTGACATATGGTAAATTGGTATAACTCAAGTGGTGACATATGGTAAATTGGTATAACTCAAGTGGTGACATATGGTTAATCGAACGATAGACTGTTCCTTCTACTAATGAAATATTGAATATTATTTGTTTTGAACTTGGCGCAAAGTTCTATTTGCGCTAAAGTCTCTAATTTAGTAGTGATGGGCCACTCTTTTACCGTCAGTTTATAACGCCCCCACGACTGAAAGGGTGAGCATGTTCGGTGACTGAGATTCGAACCAACGACCCTCAGATTGCGAGCCGAGAGCCTTAACCACTAAGCCATAAAAGTGTTTGAGATATTGTGGTACCAAACATACTCCAGGAAATTCCTTGGTCCCAGGGGATATAGCCGGTCCGTTAATAAAATCAGGAGTTATATAAAATTATATGTGAAAGTAGCATAGTTCAGGCTCTCACCGTCTTCTGGATTTTCCCATAAGGCTACTATTTTTGCGACAAAAGGAAGGTCTGTCTTTTTTGGACCTGACTTTAATAGGACGCAGTCTCTCACCCGTATCACGTCACCCTCCACGTGGCGCATGGCCGGGAAGCACTTGATTAGACGTAGTGGATCATCATTCTGAAAAATAAAATAAAGGTTACGCTGATGTTGCTGAAATAAATAATGAAAATAGTACATTTAACATAACTTATTTTTCAAAATTGAATTACATTAAATCGAGATGACTACGGTTTAAGACGAAAGACAAGCTAGCTTGTGTACCAACAGATCCTATACCAGCGTTTCTCAACCATGTTAGTGTTGCGTCAGCGAGTTCACGTGACTAGTATCACGCCACGTTCTTCTCTAGAACCTTCGTGAATTATCGGGAGACTACTAGATTGGGGGTAGTCTGGTATATGTAAGACGTTCACAACGTGACGGGACAAGAAGGTAATGAGTAATTGAACTGCAGTCAGAGAGTGTGTAATTGAACGGAGTATTGTTGAAGTTGAGCTCGTGAGACGTTTGTTATAGCGCGACTGTTGAAATTAAGTGTATCGCTAAGTTATATTCAGAAAGAATAAACCAGTTTTATTTAAGAAAGGATTTGTGTCGCTAAAGTTTAGTCGGAAAGAATTTACGGAAAATTAACTAACGACTGGAGGCGTAACATTAGTTACACGAGATCACCTAAACTTCAAGAAATTTCTCGCAACCCACTGCACAAACTTATAGTAGTATGACACGTATGGCAACGTTTCATAGTTTCTGTGCTGGGTTCATGCGCATGACATTAACTTGTTGTTAACATTTTGTGAGGTATTATGTAGTTTGAATTATACTTTTGCTGTTTTGCAACATTTTTATAAACATAAAAAAATATAACCTAATCTTAAGCCTTTTCGAGGCCCACCGGTTGAGAAACACTGGTCTATACCATATTCTTGCGATTTGAAGAAGGTGACAACGACATAACCCGATTTTAAAGCGTGATTTCCCAAACGATAGCGTCCCTGTCACGAGAAATTTCAAGTGCGAAGCATAGATTTTTTTTGTTTGTTTGTTTGTCAAAAACCGGAAAGTGAAAAACACGTTTTGCTATGTAGTTAAATTCCTACTTACAATTTCGTCATTATCCCTTATTGGCTGGTTTATGCATAACTTAAGAAGAAGAAAAAAAAAACAGTTACACAGTACATTGGAGGGTGGGATGAGGGTATCTCAAAGTTATATAACGTTGCTAAGTTCTTGAAGTTCCTTGATATAAAACATTTTTTTTTAGTTTAAACTTTAATCCATCCTCCACACATTGTCCCAGTTTTGAGGAAATATATTTATCTGGTCATTTTAAACAGTATAGCAAACAGACAACTATAATGTTTTACCCTAAAAGACCTCCGGTGGGACTGCGGTAAGTTTACAGAGTTACAATGCTAATATCCGATATTTGATTTCCGGCGGCGGACATAACAGATAGCCCAATGTTGCTTTCCCCTAAAACACACAAACCGAACGCCTAAAATCTAAATATATTTAAGTAGATGTTAAGCAACGTTATGTTAAACAAAAACAACGAACTTTAGCGAAAATAAAGATTCGTGTATTCACTATACTCTGCAAAGACTTGAGTCGATTTGATCTGACAAAGAGTAATTTTGTTCTACACTATGCCTTTGTTCACAGGAAAAAAATAAGTCCTTTTTGTTGGCTTTGTTTCAACAGAATGACACCGCTGTTGCTGCCGTATAGAAGTAAATATGCGGAACAATGACGACAATGACAGCTTTTGCATGAATGAGGTTGTAATGTTTGACGTCATCTGATTGGATGACGTATTTATTGTTCGTTTAAAGAGATGCCTTCGAACAAATCCACCTGTGCGTTGATGCGTCACGTTTAGTTTCGCGTAGTTTAAAAAAAAATCAAAACATGAAGATAAAAAGAAAATTAAACTTTAAGTCTATACAAAACAGAGAAATATTGGATTGGTTGATTTAGGTCATTACGATAAGGAAAGAAACCTAAGGTTAATGTATTGTACTAATAATCCTTGGGTAAAGTTTAAAGATTACGGCGAAGAGCTTTTGTACCTAGAAAAACATCATTTGATGGTCGTAACTATCCTAATTGATGTATGATCAGAATCAAACTTGACTTGCCTCCTGTCAGATGAAACAGTATTAAACGAGATTACTGTATATAATTCATGATATACTGTTAATGTTAGGCATCGTAATGGAAACGGTCCATCCATAACCTGACCAACTAGCACGTAAAGACGTCAACGGTTGACAAAAGCCCGACAAAAAAAAAAAGAAAAAAAAAAAGGTTACACCGGATTCTACAAGATAGTCTGAGTTTATAAATAAGAAAATATCAAAGGTATTGAAAGAAAGAGAAAGAAAAAGAGATTGTAGTGGGCCTAACAAATGCAAATGTCTTGATTGTACAAACGTCTACTTGTTTTTGTCAAATTGTCTACGAGGCTAATGTGTCTCATGTTGGTATCACAATATACTAGCTATTAAAGTGTCTTGAATATAACAGTTTATTAACTAACATAATATACTTATTTTCACAGTCTCGACTATTACAGTATATTAACTAGTATAGTATACATATCATTGTGTTGAGTATTACAGTTTTGTTACGACAGCGGAAGTCACGTGACGTGGAAGCATGCGCACTGGAGTTTCTCGAACGATCATGAATTTGCCCGGCAGCTCGAGTATGATCTAGATGCAAAGAAAGCCAGCTAGATACATAGATAATTGAGTCAAGCGAACGGTAGTGACGGTGAGCCGTAAATTGTGTGTGTGTTTTGCAGTCGTTGCATAGAGCGAAGTTATCGAGTTTGTGAATCGATGTGATTTATAGCGTGTTTTATAAAAGTTGTTAAGTTTAAAGTGACGAGAAACGTAGTGATTGTGAAATTATGGTGTACTAAAAGTTTGTATCGAGAAAGAATGAACTGGTTTAACCAAGAAAGGACTTGTATCGCTGAAGTTTCTCGGAAAGAATTTCTACAGGAAATTAACAAACAAGCAGATACGTAACAGTTTATTAATTAATATACTAATATAGTATACATATCACTCTGTTGAGTATTACAGTTTATTAATTACTGTAGTATACTATTATCACAGTTTATTAATAAATATTCTCTTAGTTTAGCCTTGGTTTAAGTCTATCAGTTAATATCCTTTCTTTTATCATTGACTCATGTTCATTATTAGCCCTGGCTAGGATTTTAAAATTTTCTATATTTATGGGTTCATTACAACTGTCATGCGCACGTCAGTTAAACTTGAATATGACGTGATTCTCAAATTTGCAGGCTGTTGTATAAGTGTTTTTAACGCCCTAGTGGTAGAACTTATATAACCTAAATTACATTAAGGGCACCTATATTGTTATAATATATTCGATATTTGGTAGATGGATATCGGATATTAATATCTAAAAAATAAAAATATTCACACTGGCTTAAATACGCATCTCAATTCTACTTCCGGATAATTCCGATGGATTATTTTTCTTAATTGATTTTTAATCTCTGTCGCTTGTTTCCTGGTGTACGTTTTGTAAAACAACACTATATTTTTGGTTTCGCTCCTTTTTATCAGGTCGATGTTTTAAAAAACCTCTTATTTAAATAATCATGGATGACACGATTTATAATATTTGTTGGAAAATCATTTTTTTTATGAAATTCCTTATTTGATATATTTACGGAAAAACTATATTTACTGGTTAATTCATATGCTCGATGAACCAGTATTTTTATCATATACATTCTTAAGTATTACACTGTAGCACGTATAACAGTATACTAAGTACCACAGTGTAACACGTATAACAGTATATCAATTACCACAGTGTAACACGTTTAACAGTGTATTAAGTACCCCAATGTAACACGTATAACACTATATGAAGCATAATAGTGTATCACGTCTGTGATATATCAACAAGCACAATCAATCACTAGCCTTTACAAGTTTACATCTCCTTATCCACGAACAAGATTATGCGTAAATTCGTTGCTAATTTTTATGCTCTATTAAAAACAATTAGGTTCAAAAAATTAGATGAGATACTTACATTCAAAAGGACTAGTTTTTCGAAAGGTTCTCCTTCCCAGGACCACCCATTAGAATATTTCTTTTTCCCGTTTTTCTTTGGAAGTTCTTGTTTAAATGGTGACAAAATACCGTTCATCTCTAATATTTTTGAACTGTTATTTGGTAGTTTTATTTTGGTCTTGCCCTGTTTTTCAACACTTACGCTTTTCTGCTTGTTGTTTTGGGAAATTTTGGGTTGTTTCAGCTTTGTTTTTACTTTGTTAGTGTTGGGAAGTTTTTGCTCCTGGAAAGAACTATTTCCGTTTTGAAAAGAATTACTGTGTGTTTTACTATCTGAACTGTTCGTATTTTCATTTAGACCAGTGCTTTTTTTCATTCGTCGCTTAATTTTCAAATCCTGGGCCTTCTGTGAATCCAACGACTGGTCAGGAATATTTTGGTTCCCGTGATGTGGAGTGCGAGATGACGATGTATTATTGTTTTCGTTTGTCGTCGAGCAACTGTGGCCATTTGGTTTTCTAGGCTCAAAAACTGGCGGCCCTTTTCCTGAAATTGAATTGATTCTTCCGTTTAACACGGTACCAGAACTGTTGCATGGTTGTAATCTCCTGTCAGTCTGCCCTCTAATGACTACAGTGTTATTCGTTTCTGACCTAGGGAATTGAGATTTATTGCAGTTACCAATATTTTGATTTATAGGTAAATGGGGTTGATGCTGGCGCTGTGTGGCCTCTGCTTTTGGCACTGGAGGGAATGACCCCTCGGATGGGGCTGGCCTGGGTGTTCGAGTTTTTATGTCTTTTTGTCGACTGGTAATCACTGGGGTCAACTCGTGGTAGGTGGGTCCCGGAGAATAATCACGTGGTATACTGCTGGCTTGGTGTTTGGGGTATATAGTATTTTGAGGTTGTGTGTGAGGGTGTTGTTGAATAGATGCAGTGTGGGATTGACAATGAAAATTTGGACCATGAATGGAGCCGTGAAAATGGGAATGGGCCGATGAAGATTTCTGGGGAAGAGGAGGACATGACGGAGGCTGGTTATTGAGGTGTTGTGGAGGACGAACCGGACTGTTTTCTTGAGAATAGCATGGATTTGCGAGATTGCTTGGGGACAGAACGTTTGGTGGACTGAGGTATGGTCTGGGCGCCTGGTTACAATTTGATATATCTTGAGAGTATTGATGATGAGGAAGATTTGTTGGCATACAGTCTTGACGGAAACCGTGTGATGGAAGGTTGTGAGGGGCCATTGGATCTTGGGTATAATGAGGACGTGGTGTGTTTTGAATTTCGTTCTGTAGAAACTGGTGATTATTAAGGGGCAATGTATCTTGAGAAAATCCACGAGAGGCATTACTCTGGGGGATGTTCTCTTGAGAATAAGGAGATGGTGGTGGAGGGTTTGTCGAGTGAGTCATATCATGGGGGTAGTAAGCAAGAGGTGGGCTACTATGAGGCATATCCTGAGTAAAACAATGAGAGGAACTGTTTGGATTCATAGCTTCCTGTGGGTAATGGGGCTGAGGTATGGACTCCATGGGACAAGATGGAGTAGACGATAAGGCATGACGGGAGATGCACTGGTCCCCACTCCCGTAATGATTGTGTGGTTGAGAGGGTGGAGGTGGAGGCGGGTGGTGATGGTGATGCTGAGGTGGATGATAGGGCACTGGTTTATGAACGAGACAAGGATCAAGGATAGGCTGCACTGCAGAACCAGCAGGCTGGTAATAGCCACCTGAAGAAGAAGAAGAAAACGAAATTAGTAATCTATATAGTGTATGGAATGACACATGTAACATAGTTTAATGTTACAAAAGGTTCTTCTATATTATTTAGTGGATATTCTGGCAAATTAGCAGCACTTGCAACCCTAAAATACGTTAATTTTTCAACTTCTTAAAATCTTTTTCACTTTTCAGCTGTGTTGATCATTAAAAAAATTCAATATACAAATATTACCTGGTAATTTGTTAAGACAATTCTAGCTAAAAGCAAAAATATATATCAGAAAACAATCTTCCTCTGTCAACGACAAATTATTTAGGACTTATATTTCGTTTTGTTTAGTGCGTCAAAACACATTAGTGTAATTTTATCAATGCCTAATCTAAGAGATCGCTAGATGAACAAATTTACAGGATGTAAGATCATTAAAATCACAAATAGCTTCATTACTTCTTCATTAAAGTCCTCTTTACTCTCTCGAGCCTGACTCGTGCTGTTTTGTTTGTGATGTACATCGGGTTTGTTAAACACCCCAGATGAGCTTTCCCCCGGGGCTGCGATATTTTCTTTTCTTTTTTTTCTAAACTACTGTTCCGATGTTTACTATTTCTACGTATAAGAGATGGGATTCTGAATGTGGAGTCAATTAAAGTAAATTTCTATGCGTACATGTCTTCTTAAGAATATCTACATTAGATACGCTAAGGATATTTACGTAACATATATACTCAAAGATCTGTTGAATTTAAATGATTAAAAGACCACCATAGCATGTAAATCTCTCGTCGGTGTAAGTGTTTATACCGGAAAACATCGTTGACGTTAATCAGATACTGTGTCTACAAAACAACGTCAAGATAGTTATTTAGCATACAAAAACAAAAGTGTCAGAGTGAACGTACTCATTATTCATCGTAGTATTCCCCCCTAATAACCGTTATGAAATTTGTCCACAAAAACAATCAAAGAACTGCATTTTGATGTGAAACATTACACAATACAGTTTTTGGTACTTAAGTATCGTTAAGCTGAAACCAGAAAACTGGATAAAGTCACATTAGATTTGGCAGAAAGATACAACACGACTAACCCCAACGAGAGGGAATAACCCCCACTTGTGTACGTCGGAAGGGGGATGGTCTAGGAACTCCCTTCTAGAGCTAAAAAATATTTTTTTTTGTATGACAATATTTTGATCTACTGCAAAACATATTTTAAATCGGCAATATTTTTGCCCACCAGTACTCCTAATCTTTACACAATCCTCAAAGTTTAATATATTTATGGCATCGCCGATTAGTGCTCCTAATCTTTACACAATCCACAAAGCTTGATATATTTATGGCATCGCCGATCAGTACTCCTAATCTTTACACAATCCACAAAGTTTAATATATTTATGGCATTACCGATCAGTACTCCTAATCTTTACACAATCCACAAAGTTTAATATATTTATGGCATTGCCGATCAGTACTCCTAATCTTTACACAATCCACAAAGTTTAATATATTTATGGCATTTTCTTATTTACTATCAAGTATGGAATTAGTCTGTCCTTTGGTATAACTGTATAACGAAGTGAAACCGAATCATGAATCCAAAAAAACGTGCTTCTTTACTTTTTTTTTTTTAAGGACACTTGCCGGATTTTTTGCTTTCTACTGAAGCATGAACACTGAACAAAGTCATTACCCTACGCTAGTTTCTACTAAAAATAAACAAGGTTGTTCTAAACTAGTTTTATTAAAATAGTCATTCTAGATTAGTTTTATCCCCCCCCCAAAAAAACTGACACTCATGAAAACAGTCTATAATAATTTCAACAAAATTACTTCCTGAATTGAGTTCAGTATTTTCTAATCCCTTGCTGAGAAGCATGAAGTGTCTCATCCTGAGATATGTTAAACTTTAGAAGTTGTCAAGCTACGTGACATAAATATATTTAAAATGGACAACTATGAGAAATGTTCACATTGTCAAGAACTCTAGAAATTGTGCTTGCTTCAACCTGAACTGAGTGGACTTACATACAGGTAAGTTAACTTCCAAGTTACTACCAGTTCCATTTTTTGTCGTCTCATTTTCAAGCATGTGTATACACTACCTGCCAGTATTTTTCTGCTACAACTGAATCATATTAAACTTTGTAATGTAGAGAAATTCCACGTGCCGCCAAGCTAGAAATATACACATTAAAGGGACATTGTCGTCTAATCTTCAACGAACCGAACACGCTGAATCACCACGTTTTCTCAAAGTCATAATATGATGATTAACACGAGCGTACAACCAAATTAAACATAATTATGTGTATTACGCCTTTCAGACACTTTTAAATAACCAAAAACAATGACTCACGAAGTTTTGTGCATACATGTTTCAAACTGTTAGTTCGTCACAAGCATAACGCGCATTTTGTTCTAGGACGGTAGGATACTTCAGATTTACCTATGTGCGATTCGAGTAACATACATTTGACATCACTGAGACGATACTTTCTCCTATCCCTCTAAAAATACCTGGAGACTCACCACTTCTACCATGCAGCAATTCCTATTTCTTTTGCTATTATTTGCAATATTTGATAATTTTCAGCAATGGCATTCATAATGCGCAATAGGAACGACGTGTACAGGATCTCTCAGAACAATACGTGTACAGGTTCTTTCGGAACTATACGTGCACAGGTTCTCTCGGAACTATACGTGCACAGGTTCTCTCGGAACTATACATATTTCTTCATTATTCCTAGGTCATTATTCCTGATGTCCTCTGGCGGACTTATAACGCTTGAACACGGGTTTCAATACCCGTGTTGGGCACAGCACAAATCGCCCATTGTGTAGCTTTGTGATTAACTTCAAACAAATATTGATTCCGCTAAGCCTATGTTATGTAACTCACTGAGCATGCTTGTCATCCAAAAATGATCTGAATTTACTAATATAGTCTCTCTTATGTAATCGTTTTTATTGCTATTCAGTATTTTTAACTACTTTAATTCTGAACATTAGTCTTGACAATGGCATAGCTCAGCTCACACGCTTTTTCAAAACTTTGTCAATGATTTCAAACAAATCAGTGCTATCAATTCTTCGATCGTTTCACACAATGACATAACGCTCATCTGCCACACTTACAACAATGTATTAGAACAGTACTATTACGAATATTCATATTATGCCAAAAAAGACACGATGCGTTCAAATATTTTGTTTTAAATAATGACTTTGCTCATATAACTGAAAAAATAATATATATATATATATATATACGAAGAAAAAAAAAGTGAAAACATCTTTACAAACTGAGGTTTTGTTCAGGACACTTTTTTTTGTCAATTCCGTTCTTTGCAATAAATTGATAATGTCTGTTCTAGATCAAAAGGAATGATTCCGGTTTCCGAAAAAAATATTTTTACATAAGCGTCTAAAATGGTTAATACCGAGGCAAAAAAAATATATTAACCATATTGTACTTTTGCTACCTTTTACGAAAACAAAACACAAAAAAAACTATACTTTTTTTATTTAATGCACACCTATTCATTCCGGGTTTTTCTTGATCACGTGATTGATGTTAGTCTCCTTAGCAATCTTCGGCTGTTTTCAACAATTTTAGAATTTTCTCGTCTAATCGCTATTAGAAATAGGTATATGGAAAAGAGCGTTTTTAGACGACCATCTTTGCACGATTACTTAATTGAAATGAGGTGTGATGCCACAAATTTCATTACATCAAATGTAGATGAGATTAGAGTCGACATCAACCGATAAAATAACACGTGTAGATGTCATATATATAAAAAGTGGTCTCATTCTAAAAGGACTAAGTATTATGTTAGGCCTACAGCATAACCAAAAATTGGATAACTCACGTGAATACTTCGTACACTGCTTGCAACCAGTTTCAGCAAATAATATTAAAACGACATAACATTACGTTAACGGGGCATGTCATTTAGTTTAGCGACTTATGGCCCACCCTGCAATGTTACGTTATGACTCTCAGGTACATTTTGAAATTGTAGAGAAAAGATATACCCGCAGTATCACAGTCCGTCATTCACTAATCAGTTCGTACAACTTGCAGATTACTTACGAAACGCAGCTTACGAAGACCAGTAACATAACGGTCATCTGTAGTTTCAAGGACCATGAACCAGCTGTTTGATGTAGGCCAGTAACTTAACTGTCGTCTGTAGTTTCAAGGACCTTGAACCAGCGGTTTGAAGTAGGTCAGTAACTTAACTGTCATCTGTAGTTTCAAGGACCATGAACCAGCTTTTTTATGTAGGTCAATAAATTAACTATCGTCTGTAGTTTCAAGGACAATGAACCAGCTGTTTGATGTGGGTCAATAGATTAACTGTTGTCTGTCGTTTATTACCATGAACCAGGTGTTTGATGTAGACCAGTAACTTAATTGTCGTCTGTAGTTTCAATGACCATGAACCAGCAGTTTGATGTAGTTCAGTAACTTAACTGTCATCTGTAGTTTAAAGGACATTGATCCAGCTGTTTGATGTTGGTCAGCAACGCAGTAAGTACTTATTGTAGTTTCATCGTTGTACCTGTGTTTGATCTAGGTCAGTAACGCAGTAAGTATTTATTGTAGTTTCATCGTTGTACCTTAAACCAGATGTTTGTTCTAGGTCAGTAACACAGTAAATACTTATTGTAGTTTCATCGTTGTATCTCGTACAGTAACGTAATATCAAGCTTTTCTGTCTTATGAGCTTTGCGTATATATATATATATATATATATCCTTATTTGTTCTTTTTTTATTCGAATTGTTATCCTGTTGCACAATTTAATTTCTTTCTTATAATTACGATAATTACTGCTCAAATACAATCAACTTTTGTGAAGCTTCTTGTATGATCTTCAATATATATTTTAAAGTACTTTTATCCAAATTATTTCCAAAAAAAACATTCAGTACATAATTCGTTTCAAACAAGTGGCAACTTACACTTAAGATGTCGAGTTTCAATGATACTCAG